TACTGATAGATGAGAGCACAGACATAAGTGTGAAGAAGCTGTTGTGTGTATGTGTTAAGTATTTAAATAATGAGGGACAAATATGTGACGATTTACTCGAATTAATAACGCTGGATGGAAAGAGCACTACGGCAGAAAATTTATATGAACATTTTAAAGACTGCTTAATAAAAAAAAATGTACCTCTTAAAAACATTATCGGACTCGCTTGCGATAATGCAAGTGTTATGTTAGGAAAACATAACTCATTTGCCACAAGACTTAAAGAAGACACTGACTTATTAGTAATAATACCCTGTATTTGTCATTCAGTTGCATTAGTTTCAAGTAAAGCATGTCAGCAGTTGCCTAAAACTCCCGAAGAATTTGTTCGGTGTATAGTTACTTATTTTTCTATGAGTAGCAAGAGATGTGCCGAATTAAAAGAAGTTCAGGAATTATTCCAGGTAGAAACAAAAAAAATAATTAAATTAGCAAATACAAGGTGGCTTAGTATGCACTCTTGTATTAGCAGAATTCTAGAAAATTGGGAAGTTCTTAAACACTACTTTGCTAGAGTTTTACTTGAGGACAGTACAAAGCAAACTGAATATATAAATGAACAGTTCCAAAATGAATGTAATAAAGCATATTTGTTATTTTTAAAATATGTACTTAACTATTTTAACAAATTTAATGCATTGTTCCAAAGTAAAACTATTTTAATTCACTTACTTAATTTTGAGTGTAAAAAGTTATTAAGAATCTTGCTTTCTAATTATATGAAACCAGAACATGCAAGTAATTTATCTGGCAGATTTGATCATCCACACTATTTTTTAGATTTAAATGATATTAATGTAGGTACAGAGTGTAATGAATTTTTGAGAAACATACCACAAAATATTTCAGAATCCATTAAAAAAAGTTGCTTAAAATTTTATATAACAGCATGTAGTGAACTGTATGCAAGATTTCCAACAGGCCTCGATCCTGAGATGAATGAAATGTTTGAAGTACTAGAGTTTCTGATACCCAAAAATGCACTAAGTCAAAAACGGCCAAATCACTTAATAGCTTTAAATAAGTTAAGTGGAATTTATAATAAATGTGATATAGATGAAGATGTGCTTCGAGAAGAATGGGTATCTCTACCTTTCCATTTTAGAGAGGACGAACGATTACTACTGCTCGAATATAACATACAAACGTTTTGGCATAAATTAAATAAAATTCAAAACTTTCAAGATGTTTATGTATTTAGTAACATATGCAAACTTGCAAACGTTGTAATGATACTGCCTCATTCTAATGCTGAGACAGAAAGAGTATTCTCTGTAGTAAATGATATAAAAACCAAAAAAAGAAACAAAATTGGTCCAGACTCCCTCAACGCAGTTTCTATGCTGCGCGCGCCATTATTCTATGGCTAGAAATTGGCCTCAATGATTTGGGATCGAGGGGGATTATCCCTCTTTATCCTGCCTCATCTCGTGTAGGCGTGGACAGCCTTCGTAGGTGGGCCCCATCCGTCGTCTACCCCGACCGCAATTGCGGCCGGTGTAGGCGCTTTGTGGGACCTCCTTTTGTCCTGGCTGGGCCCCGCCGGCTAGGGCCCTTCTGGCGCTCTTCTTGCTTCGCCGGCTCGTCTGTGTAAACCCCGGGGGTAGTGTCATGTTTATGTGTGGTATGGTTGGGTAGGGTAGTGCGGCTATGCAGCCTGGGATGCGCTTTGCCAAGGTGGCCCTTAGGCTAGCGCGGGAGGGGAGGGGTAAGGAGGGTATGGGGGGTGTGTATGTGTGTGTGTGTGTCGTTGTCTTCGTTTCTTGATCCTAGCTGTCTCTGAAACAGAAAAGGTTAGCGGGCAGGGGGGGGGGGGGTTATTGGGGTGTTCACCCAGGGTCAAAAAGTTGGTGTCTAGGTCTTTTGTGTTTGTCGGTCACGTCGGGTACGTAGTCAACGGCTTGCCTGAGGAGGGGATTGTCGTGTCTAGCGGCTACGTCAAATCGTTTCTCCGCGTTTTGTCTTATTGTTTGTGTAGCGTTTGTGTATTGTAAGTCTCGTAATATGTCAGTGTTTCTTACGTACCAGGGCGCGTCGGTGGCCGTGCGGAGGGCTATGTTTTCCACAGCCTGTAATGACTTTAAGTGGCTTTTTGCCGCGTGACCCCACGCCGTGGAGGCGTAGGTTAGCTGCGGTTGAAGTACCACCTTGATAAGCGTTCGCTTATTCCTTAAACTGAGGGTGTTTCCACCTTTGAGTAAGGGATAGAGCCTAGCCCTGGTGGTCTTCGCTCGCGCCACCGTCTCCACGATGTGCGGTTTCCACGTGAGACGCTGGTCCATCGTCACGCCCAGGTATCGTGTTTGTCGATTCCAGGAGATAGGTTCCTGGGATAGTGTCAGTCTGTCCAGGTTTTGTGGGATTTTTCGTTTGGTAAAAAGGATAGCCGAACTTTTGTTGGGATTAATTTTGACTTTCCACCTGTTGCACCAGGTTTCAAGTTGGTCTAAGGAGTTTTGGAGGAGGGAGACGGAATATCTAGGATCTACGGATTGGGATGTGATTGTCAGGTCGTCGGCGTATAAGTATATGTTGGTGTTGGGGGGATGTGGGATGTCGGAGTTGTAAATGGTGTATAGGTGTGGAGACAGGACGGTGCCCTGGGGGACACCGGCCTCCATGGGACGGGTGGTGGAAAGGGAATCTTGGATTTGGATGCGGAATTTTCGGTGGTGTAGGTAGGATTTTATGAGTTTGGTAAAGGATATGGGATATTGGTTGGTGAGCATTTTCATCAGTAGGCCTTCATGCCAAACCGTATCGAAGGCCTTTGCGACGTCCAGGAAGACAGCACCAGTGTACTGTCCCCTGTTGAAGGCCGCCGTGATGTGCTCGGTAAGGCGAAGGATTTGGAGTTCAGTGGAGTGATTGGGTCGGAAGGCGAACTGCTCGTCTGGAATGACTTGCAGTTCTTGGGAGTGGGTTCTTAGACGGGTTAGGATAATTTTTTCCACCACTTTGCTCAAAGCCGGGAGCAGGCTAATGGGCCGGTAGTTGGATGGGATGGTGTGATCTTTGTTGGGTTTTGGGATAAGGATTATGTTTGCTGTTTTCCAGCGGGTAGGGAAGTGTCTTAGTCTGAGTGTCGCGTTTGTTATGTTTAGTAGGGCCATGAGGCCCTTGTGTGGTAGTCGTTTAAGTGTCGTGTTATGTATATTGTCGGGTCCGGGGGCTTTTCTGTTTTTAAGTCTGCGTATTGTCAGTCTTAGTTCGTCAGGTGTTGCGGGGAGGATTATGTCATTGTCTGGCTCTCTGTCGACGCGTCGGGCCGCGCGCTCAGCCACTATCTCGAATTCCTCGTCTTCGTCGGGCAGCTGAGGCAGTCTACACTGCAGTTCCAGGCTATCGGCGAAAGCCTCAGCCTTTTCCTGGTTCGTGTAAACCACCCCCACACTACCGTGGATTGGAGGAATTTTACGGCGAGCTGTCTGTCGCAGGGCCCTCTGCGTTTTCCAGAGGCTGTTGTCTTGTGGATCCAGCGACTCCAGGTGCCTAGCCCAGTTATCCTGGGCCAGTTCATCCAGAGCCGCCTTCACCCGTCTGTTAAGTACGTTTAAGTCATGTCTGTGTCGGGGGAGGCGGGTGCGGGTGGCAAGCCGTTTCGCACGTCGTCTGTCACGTATTAAGTTTTTTATGTCATCGGGGAGGGTGCCCCGGGGGTTTGTCAGTCGGGGGACAATAGTCTCCGTCGTAGTCTGAGTCAGGGCGTTTTTAATGTCAGTCTCAAGGGAGAGGATTGCCGCCTCCAGATCATGGGTGGTTTCGATGACTGGGAGCGCGATGTTTCCTTGCATTACTGCTCGGAAGCGCTCCCAGTCAGTGAACCTCCTCGTGAAGGTGCCTTCATATCTCTGTCTTCGCCCCAGATCCAGAAATATTGGATTGTGGGCAGAAGACCCTTCGTATTGGGTGGACATTTGGGCGTTTAACGGTATAGATTTTAAGAGGGCAATGTCGATAACGTCGGGGCGTCCTACGGGTCCGTAATGTGTCGGTTCTGTCGGTCCGAGTATCGTCAAGTCGTCGTGTCTGTCTTGGTAATTCAGCAGGACGCGACCTCTTGTGGTCGTCGTCCCGCTGTGCCATATGGGGGACTTCGCGTTGAAGTCCCCGATGGCAATTGTCTGGGGCCAGTTCTATGCTGCGAACGTCAAGTCGTGTGTCTTGTTTAAATTTTAAGTGCACAAAAGAGCATCTAGACTTTATGGACACTGAAAATTTATACAAATAATAATTAAGTAGATAAGTATATTGAATATAGCAAATTATTTATTTTTTTAGTTTAAATGAAAAATATCTATTGTGATGTTACTGTATATGTTCCTAATAGTATTTATTATAAATGAACAGAAAATATGTATTATTTTTTTATATTTATATAATAAATTATTAACCAAACACATACTATATTTACTAGACATAACTGTTGGAACACGTCTTGTTTAAAAATAAATGTTCAGAAATTATGATAAAAAAATACATAAGTATATAAATTTATTTATGTCTTTGAGATCATTTTATATGTAAGACCCCTATCTATCCATAGCTCCATGTGTCTAAACATAATTGAACTATGGTCAGAACCATGGACCACAGATTTCTAACAATTTTAATATTTAGGGAAATCTAGGGATATTTTGTAACAATTCTAGGGATAACGCTTCTTGAGGTGTTGGCAACACTGTCTAGGGTTTGTGGTTTGTGATTGTAAATGCAACTGGGTGGGTGGAGCAAGTTTTCTTTTGTGAGTTTTTGAGTCACTGTTATTTTGAATCATATTATATTTATAGTAAGTACGTATACAGTAATATTTTATTTGCAAGGCAGTGGAAATAAAATATAATCAACATGTGTGCTAAAATGGCATTTCAACATCAAGCCGGAACGGCAATGAAGTGTTTAAGTGTAAGTACATATAATGTATATTTTAGAGAACTAGAATATTTTAAAATTCGGTATTTATTTTCTAATTTTATTACTTTTCATTGTCCTAAAAAAAATTTACATTATATTTTGCTTTTATAGATTCCTATTACACTTCACAAGGAAGTAGATGGGGATACAATGAGATGTGGCTTTAAAATCGGAGGAGGAATTGACCAGGACTTCCATAAAAGCCCGCAAGGATACACAGACAATGTAAATATTACTATTATTATTTATCTATAACTTACAGATTGTTATTTTTCAGAATAAAAGTAAATCATTACCATTGTCAGTTATAATAGTGTAATTTCTCCAAATGCCTACTTACAAGGAGAAGGTAAGGTAGTCGGATTTTTGTAATTTTTGATATTTATGGTACGTGTAGTTTGGACCTTGAATAAGAATTTTTCAAAGTAGTTTGACGCAACGTTCATAAATTACCGAGTTTTACCTGACAGCTAAATCTACTGGATGTGACACATTCTTCAACTTGGAGCGTGGCGTAATTGGTAGCGTTCGGGACTGACAGTCACGTGATCGCTGGTTCAAGTCCGTCGCGTGACATTTTTTTTTTTTTTTCAAAAAACGCACCATATTTTTTATTATTTTTTTTTCATCGAAAATTATGAACAAACGAAATATTATAATAGATACTTATGTATATGTAGGAATATTCTTCAAATATTTCATTAAAATGCACAATTGGTTGATAAACAATATTTATTATGAATTAACAATAAGGTTTCATTAAAAAAAAAAACAAACGAGGTAAGGCAGGATGTTCTTTTATTTTATATTTATGTTACTGTTTGACATTTTACGCAGTGTAGTAGGAGCCAGAATGGTAGCTATCATAAAAAAATGGGAAGCAGAAATTTTGTAAGCATCTAGCTTCCTTTCTTTTTCTTTTTTTGATCTCGCAAATTATGAACAAACGAAATATGAGAACTGGATGTAGGAATATTCTTCAAGTGTTTAATTAACATTTTGAGCTAGGTTGTGTGGGTCGTCCACTGTGTTTAGAAAAACCGCTTACAGAACACACCTGCTCGGGCATAAAAAGTTTCGGTAAATTCCACAAAGGGTAGAGAAGCATCGAAACTGTGTGATGAAAAAACAATCTTTAAAATGTTAACAAAATTTGCTTCGACGTCGATATTTTGAAAACAAAATGCGCCTGTAAAAAAATAACATTTACACGATGTGCTAGAGCTTAAAAAATTTCTGTTTCCCATGTTTCTATGATAACTATCATTCTGGCTTATGCCACACTGCGTAAAATGCCAAATACTAAAAATAAAATAAAACACCTACCTGACCTCGTTTGTTTTTTTTTAAAGAAACGATTGTTAATTCATAATAAATATTGTTTATCAACCAATTGTGCATTTTAATGAAATATTTGAAGAATATTCCTACATATACATAAGTATTTATTATAATATTTCGTTTGTTCATAATTTTCGAGATGAAAAAAATAAAAAAAAACCATATGGTGCGTTTTGAAAAAAAAAAAAAAATGTCACGCGACAGACTCGAACCAGCGATCTCGTGACTGTCAGTGCCGAACGCTACTAATTAGGCCACGCTCCCAGTTGAAGAATGTGTCACACCTAGTGGATTTAGCTGTCGGGTAAAACTTCAAAATCGATTATCTCGGTAATTTATGAACGTTGCGTCGAACTACTTCGAAAAATTCATATTCAAGGTCCAAACTACACGTACCATAAATATCAAAAATTACAAAAATCCGACTACCTTACCTTCTCCTTGTTAGTAGGTACTGCTTTTTAGAAAATGTGGGAAACACAAAATGTGTACATTTTTGGTAACTCCAAAAAATCTTAATTGATTAGACCTTACCTCTGTGTGCATTATTAGAAAAGATCTGCATTTGCTTACACATACCAATAATGTACTAGTATTACATCATTACTCTACATTGAAATACTTTTCTCTCTCTTAGTTATGTAACAGTCTGTGATTTGTAGATCAGTTATTTTTTTAATGGAAGCTATAGTTGGCCATGGCTCAGCCAAAAAGGGGTGTTTTATGCTTACGGAAAATAAGTGTTTGTCAAAAGTATCTTAAAAAGTAAAAAATTATAGCCATTTCTTTTTTTTTTCTAATTTGAAAAAGAAAGCATAGAGATAACCGTGACTAAAACATGCACTACTACACAAAATTTACTGCTATTGCTCTAAAAACATTTATATTTTCATTTCATCGGTAAGGTAAATGAAAATTTAATAAAAAAATTAGGCATCTTGTTATTACAAAATGTTATTTCATATTTATTTAAATGAAATATTACACTTATTTCAAAAATAGAAAACATAAAAATATCATTAAGTGTTTAACAAATATTGAAGATAACCAACATCTCTCAAGAGTTTGACCAATCCGTTTGTTAATAGAGAACAGTTTGTTTAACATTTAAATAAAATTATTATACTTTATGGTTTTAGAATAAGTGTAATCTTTTTGTTATATATTTCTCACTATATGTGCTAAGAAAAAATTAAACAAGATGCACTGTATATTACATACTATTTTAACGCTTCTAATTTACTTAGGTTAATGCAGTCATTTCTAACAGATTATTTTATTTTCAAATTTACACATCAGTTTTTTAATGCCATTAATTTAGACTACTATTCCAATATTGACACCCATTACATCAAAACTTTTAAAATATAAAAAGTTATAACACTTCATTTTAAAGATAATGTTTTTTATTAACATTGTCAACAAACAGAATTTCTGAAATGAAAATGTGTTAATTATGACAGAAGAAAACTTTTTCTTTGAAGAATATATTAATTCATTTCTTATTTATAATTTTCCAGTTTAATTATTTAAAAGAAATTGCTAATTTTTAGAAATGAAATAAGTTTTTTTTGTCATTAAAAATCAAACAGTACTTGTATACAAATCAGTAATTTTCTGACATTAGTCAGCAGAGCACTATAGTAAATAATGTAACAAAAAATATAATGTGTAATAAAAAGACTACCTATATGCAATGTATTTCATATTGACATAATAAATTGATAATTCTGATATTCTATCTAGAAAGGTAACAACCTTCAAATGGTGTTTTTATTAAAAAAGAGCTTACCTAATCGGGTATATAAAGGGTGATTCACTTTTTATGATTAGGACTTTAACCATCGATAGATCTCGTCAAAATAATATGATTTTGGAGTATACACTTTTTCTTCCAAATGCTTCCTTTTAGAGTATAAGTTCTTGAAAAAACATTTTTTTTTTTTTTTCTTAACGATAAAAGCCATTTGTTTTATATTTAGTACGAATGAAAAGCTCTATCGATTTTATAAATTATTTTGAAGATAAATCAATCATAGGCGTTTCATAAGGAGCTCTGATAACCCCTACTTTTAATATAATTTGTACGCCACTGGAAATTTTTGAAAATAAATATATATTTTTTTTACACTGCGGTTTATTCTACAAAAAAAAAGGTCACTTACTATTTTTAAATGAAATGCTTGGTTTTTGAGAAAAATGGCTTCTTATGAATTTCTTACATGTGAAATGATTAAGTTTTTTAAACAAAGTAATACAGAATAAAGTATTTAATATTGAGAAACAAACAGAAATAACAATTAACAATAGAGAACAAAAGAAAAAGTATCACCTTGTGGGTACACATGTTTGCAAGTGACCCATATTAGAAAGCACAACGTCAAGAGCGCCGCAGGACGCCGCAGGACGCCGCAGGACGCCGCCGGACGAACCAGCGTTCCAAGAAGGGCTGCTGGCGCCGGTCACCAGACGCGTACCCATGAACGACCGACTTAAACGACGGACTCTCCAACGAACACTCACCCTGTTAACACGTCTTTCCATACACAAGTTTTCTGTACACCAGTTTTCAATAAAATTCTTTATTATTACCGTTGAGAGAGCGTTTATTTCTTGCTGTACAGCGAAAGCAACCCTCAAGTGGTGACCCCGACGTGATCTTTTCAACGAAAGTACGCGAATTTGTGCAATAAGAGTGGTTTATATTTCGCGCAACGCAGCAAGCAACATGAGCCTCAACGAAGAAAACCAAGTCGAAAATTATGCCGCGACGGAAGTGAATCATGTAGCAGTGAAACTTCCACCATTTATTTCGGACGATGTAGAGATGTGGGTTCAGGTTGTGGATAGAAGTTTTCGACTAGCGCGTGTGACAAGTGAAGAAACAAAGTTTGACTACCTCGTTACTGCTCTAGATAGGAACGTAATGAGTGAAGTGCGCGACCTGTTAATGAATCCACCCCGAGACAAGCCTTATTCCGCACTTAGGGCAGCTTTAATAAGCCGATTGAGTACGTCTCAGGAACAAAAAACGAGGCGACTCCTAGAGCGCGAAGAAATCGGGGACTCGAAACCGTCCCAGTTTTTGCGAAGATTAAAGGCTTTGGCAGGATCTACCGTTTCCGATTCGCTCCTTCGCACGCTGTGGATAGGGCGCCTGCCGTCTAGTGTCCAGGCAATTCTCGCGACACAGAAGAATGCCGCGTTGGACGATGTCGCGGAGCTGGCCGACGCTGTTATGGAGACAGTAATGCCCGGCACAGCACTCCAGGAGGTGGCCAAATCCAGTCCAGAAGACGACAGACTAAAACGCATCGAGCAGCAGTTAGTGGAGATGTCGCAGGCAATGGCGAAGCTATTCGCGAGTGAACCGCGGCGACCGACGACGAGAACTTCCAGATCGCGTTCGCAAGACCGATCGCGAAGCCGTGACAGTGACAGTGGTCAGTGCTGGTATCACCAACGTTTTGGTGACCGCGCTCGCGTGTGCCGCGATCCGTGCACGTATCGTCCGGGAAACGAGACGGGCAGTCGGTGATGGCGAACAGCGACCCGTGCCCGATTCCGCGCCGTTTGTACGTTACGGATACGTACTCCAAGGTCCAGTTTCTCATCGATACGGGTGCTGATCTTTGTGTATATCCGCGTGCGCTAGTGAAATCGTCGCGATCGAAATCAACGTATGAACTTTCCGCGGCAAATGGAACCTCAATTGCTACGTACGGCACAGTGACAATGACATTAAACCTCCGGTTGCGTCGTTGTTTTACATGGCAATTTGTCGTCGCAGACGTCTCAAAACCGATAATTGGTGCAGACTTTTTATCTTTTTATGGACTACTGGTGGACGTGCGCAACAAAAGGTTGCTTGACGAAACAACGCG